GCTGACAGCTGGGCACATGTTCGCAGTCGCGCAGTTCGACGCAGACATATCACGATCGACCCGGGGGTTTAAGTGTGAGTTGGTCGCCCACTCTGGCAGCATGCATCCGCACAGGTGGTTTCCGCGCAGATCCAACATATTAGCACTGATATTGTACCACTCGTGCGGAATCGAGCCAGTCAGAGCGTTAGAAGCCAGCTGCATAGTGACTATGACAGCCATCTTGACCCATTGAGGAGGCAGAGTGCCAGACAGCGAGTTCCGGCTCAAGCTGAGAGACTGCATCTGAGTCAGCTCGCCCCAGTCCGCAGGCAGCGGACCTGTCAGTGCGTTGCCGCTCAAGTCCACTTTCGTTAGTCGTTTCAGGCGGCCCCAGCTCGCAGGCAGTGTGCCCGCAGTCAGTTGACCAGACCCACTCGCAATAATGCTTGTGACAATCACGGCGGCGCCGTCCACGCCGTCATCCAGCTCAGGCAGCACCAACGATTCGGTGTACGGCGACAAGTCGTCGCCGAAATTCAGTTCAGTCGGCGCGCCGGCATTGCAAATCACGTACAACCAGGTGCAGACGTCCGTGCCCGTCCACTGGCTCTTAAGAGACGGGTTGGACTCCGCAAAGAGCTGCAGGAACTTCAGCGTGTTCGTCTGTTCCGCATCGGTGTACGTGGCGGAGACCAGAACGGCGTACACGCACAGCACCATCATCGCTGCAGCCACCATCGTGCGGCGCAGCGGGTAGTGAAGCCGCGCCATGGGTCGCAGTTGGAGGGTGAAGGAAGGAGGTACGGGAGTCGCCGTAGAAAAGCTCCGTGGAACCGGACAGCAGCGGGGAAAACAGCCGTGGCACGCGAGACGTGCGTCTGTGGAGTGTGGCGCAGGGACGGATGTCGTTGATAAAAACAGAAACGTTGGAAGCAGAAAAGGTGCGTTTAAAACAGATAGCTTGAAGAGAGTTATGGCCGAAGAGAGCGTTAGAGTTGAGAGCGCTGCGGCTACTGTGTAACAGCGCAGGAAGAGAGCGAGGGCGAGAGAAGAAGCGGGGAGCAATGAGCGAAGCAGTGGGACAGCAGATGTGTGGCGGTGTGCGCAGCAGGCAGAGCAGCGGACCTGCACCACAGGCACGCGCATGCAATCGCGCGCGCACGCTGACACGCACACGCCCACACCAGTCGCACCACACAACGAGGGGGCGGTGGACGCTCCTCCGCCGCGGCCGCGGCTTTAGAGAGACAGAGAAACGGAGACGCAGATGGCGGCGACGGCGGCAGAGCAGGCAGCAGGCGATGCCCTCCGCACACACCGCACAGCACAGCAGTGCACAGCAGTGCACCTGTGCCGCGGTCGCGGCTTCGTCGCCGGTATCCTGAGTAGAAAATGACTTGCAGAGCACGAGAAAACACACACGAAGATCACGTCGCAGAAACACATCGCTAGCCAGCCGCTAGCACGTGGCATCGACGGCGGACGGCGCAGTTGCGGGCTCCACAACACCTTAGATTGTGTTGCACGGAGTAGTGCACAGCCGCCCGCACTGCTCCACCGCAGCACGACAGCCCCACCGCTCCGCCGGCGCATCACCTTCAGCAGCCGCAGAGGCGCCGCCGGATCCGCGTGTTGGGCCAGCCTGTCGATCCACGTAGGTGGCGCACCGGGAGCACGTGCTCCTCCTTCACCCCTCACTGCAAAGACGAAAGAGCAGCTGCCAACATTTCGTGGCGCATCGGGTCGGTCCCCCGCGGCCATGAGCAACAAGGGACGTGTTGTGTTGGAAGCACGGCGTGCGTTGGGGGGATCGAGGGGGTGGCCCCATCCGAGCGGCGGCGTGTCGAGCACCGACGTCTTCGCGCCTGAGAAAACCCCAGCGCGCGGATCGCGTTCGCCACAGCCCGTGCCGGGAGGGGCGGCCTCACTCCGCCGACCACCGATGCAAAGGCGGCGACGGCGACCATGTACCGTACGCAGCGTCTTGCGCATTCCGCATCGGCCACTCCACCCCGTCTCACCCGGTCCACGGCACTACGCCTCTGCATGGAGCCACCCTCGAGACGACCACACACCGGCTGTTCCGGCAGGGCCTCCAACCATTCTTGTATCCGTCTTCACGAGGTGTTGTGCGGCGGCAGTGTCACGGCGGGTTCGGGGAGGCACACGCGCGGACAGCGCGGTAGGGATGCGGGATGAGCCACACTCGTGCCACGGCAAGCAGCGCAAAAGGTCGCGACCATGAAAAAGGCCGCAGCCGTCGCCGTGTCTGCGCTCACGCGTGCAACGACAGTGGGCAACGGTGAGTGATGGCCACAGCTCTTCGGGCAGCCCTCGCAGATCGTCGGGCACCGGCTCCGAGCGCGCCGCGTCACGGGTGTCGAGCCGGGTTGTGCCGTCTTCGGCCCTCTCCGGCATGCCAGCGACCCAGTGGCAACGGAGAAGGAGAAACGGGAAACGAAGGTCCCTTTGTCGGTTGCACGGACTTCTCGACACCGCACGCGTGTGAAGGATCCAACGAAGTCAGCGTGCCGCATCGCATCATCGTCCTCGCGTGCATGGAGGGCCGCGGGACCCGACGGGGCTCCATACGATTCGTTGTGCACGCGGCAGGACCTCCGCTCCCAGGCATTCCATCCTCCGCCCCGAGGCAGCTGACGGCTGCGATGTTAACGCGGCTCACATTCTTGCGCGCGGAGAGCTGCGGCGCTTGGGCGGCCCTTCCGTTGCAGCAACGCCACCGCCGCCGCCCCCACCGCCTCGGCAGGTGGAGCAGCCGCGTCCCATCCGTTGTCCACGTCGGCATCCGCACCCCCTACCTCCATCGGGCGCAGCGTGTGGCTGTAGCGGGGCGGCGAGATGCCTGAGGCAGCCGGTGACTGGCGTAAGAAGGCTCTCTGCCCGCGACATGTCCGCAGCAGCAACTTGTCCACCTTCAGCGACGTTGATCGGCGCGGCGTAGCGCCCCCATCCAGAAGGTCGAAGGTCGTCGTGGCGTGGAGGGACCTAACCGGCGACTCGCCCTCGTGCAACTCGCGCACCCCGCAAGCTGGCTCCTGCGTGCGATGCTCCACACGTCTTCCTTGGGGTGAGAGATTTCTGCGTACGGCGGGAAGAGCGGCATGGGGCGATGTTCGATGATTTCGTCGAGCAGGCGTCGCCGCTGGGAGCGCAGACTCATTGTAGACCTGGTAGTTGTGGCACTGCATCGCCCCACCCTGCGAGCCAGGAGGGAGAGGTTGCATCACGCACCTCCCACCGCTCTCCTTGCCGGGTGCGCAGAGCGTGCAGAGTCAAGCAAGGACCGCCGTCGGTGGGAGCCGCTTCAGCCCCGCAAAGCCGAGGAGCCTCGCCTTCGTCCGCGCGTCTGTCAGTTCTCCCACGGCGTGCCACCACAACGCCGCCTCTCCGCTGCTGCGCATTCAAGGGAGTTGTGCCGCAGTACGGATTGTTCAGCCAGCGAGGTTGCGGCGTCTTTTGGCGGCGCCTCGGCCTTCGTCGCGGCCCGCGCCAGCAGTTATGCGTGCGTTGCATTATCGATGTTCGCGTCTTTCGAGCCGCTCCGTGGCATCCTGCACCTCACAGCACAGAACGAGCCGGCATCCTGCTGGTTACGGCACGGTGTTCGCTCCTTCTGGAGTTAGAAAACCCCAAGTGATAAGGAGGGCAGTGCCTGTGGATGCCCGGTGGGAGAACTGTGATGATGATGAAAGCAGGCGATGCATTTAGGGAATCAGAAAGAACTGTGTGCCATCCGGCGACAGAAACAAAAGATGAGCACAGCGGAGACGAAGAGGGAGAATGGTGCGGGAGGGCGCGGGGGAGAACACAACGAGGGGCGGCCGGAAGGACACAACAACACAGCGTGGTGCACTCGCCGTCGACGCGGTCAGACCAAACTACGTAGCGCTTGTTCTACTTGTGGATGCAGCTGTAAGGTTGTACACACGGTGGTTTCCTTCCTGCGCAGCTTCACGGACAACGACTTCGGATCACTCCACCGCAGCTCAGTCGGCTAAAATGCGTTCGGCTCTCGCGCTCTTATCACGCACGAACGAAAACACTCGGAGATGAAAGGGGAAGTGAGGAATCCATTCGAGGTAGCTCTCCGCCGTCGAGCACAGCACCACGGAGAGGAAAAACGAAGAGGAAATGAGCGCGGAGTTGTGAAGCTCTACAGCACTCGAGAGCACGAACAGACGTGGCTCGGTGCAGACATTCACACTGCGCAGTACAAAACAAAAGAAACTGTGTATTCCACGCACAGCATCATCGCTCTACCGTATTTAACCACATGAGAAGATATTGGAAGAATGAGAAGAAAAAAGGCCGTGTCCGGTCGTGCGAAAAGTGCCAGTAAAGCACAAATACATCTTTCAGGTGAGCCTGCAAACAGGCCCTGAGTACAGCGCTTGAGAAAACATAACATGCCGCCCTTCTGGGCTCACACCGGTGCTCTCGCGTAGGCAGACACACTCGGCACCCACGCTGAGCTCCCCAGCCTTCTCTACTTGGTCTCCCGCCGCATTTGGTTTTTGAAGCCACGCCCAAACACCGTTACGCGCAGAGCGGGCCCCTTGACTACGCACCTCATTCATTGGATGAGGGCGGCCCCATGGTAAAGCCGGGAACAAAAATACGTTTCAAATGATAATAATAAACAATTCTCGTGTCGTTGCGAGCACCACAGCAGCGAAGTGGGGCCATTTTGGATTGTCTGTTGCTCCTCCACCATCCGAAGAGTACACAGATGCCGGGAAGATAAGTCACACCACACAGACTTCGCTTTTGTGGGAGCACGCACCGTTTTTCCGTAGAAGCCGAAGCGTTTCGCGAAGATAAACGAACAAGAGAGTCACTGAATTGCCTCTCCGCACTATTTGGGAGAAGAGCGCCGTCACGCGCAGAGACGAAACAGCAGCACGAGGAATGAAAGCATTAATACATCGGAGGGAGTGTGGGTGAGTTAATACGGATGAAAAGAACTGCACTAGAAAATAAAGCTTTTGTCGCTGTTTTTTCGGTCACTCGCGTGTTAACGTCACGCATGTCGCTCAGAAAGATGACGGGCCACTCCAGCCATCTCCATTCGGTCGCACCTCATGCGGAACCACAAAGAGTAAGACCTCGATCCTTCATTTTCGGTTAAATAAGATGAGAAAGAAAAGGTGCAACTAAACTCGCTCGCTTCTCTGCAGTGCCCACGTGCTGGCGCTGTGTGTTGCTCTTGTATGGAGGGACCCAGGGAGCACACCATCCCCCCCCCTACCACCGCCAACTCGTCGCAAGCAACATTTCTCCGGCGCAGAGGCACGCACCGCGGCTCCATCGCAAACCTAGGGGACCACACACACACAAACACGCTGTTGCGCGAGCCAGCGAGCTGCACGCTTAGGTGCATACACGTGAAACAACGCGGCCGTCCCTTTTTGTCGACGCGGCGCCTTCGCGTCACCCTCCGCTGGGATACCGCGACAGCGGCGTGGGAAGGGCTCTCCGCTGCTGCGCAGGCAAAGACGTACCAAAGCCGCAAAAGCACACAAAGGCAGCCATTTCATCGCGAATGAAAACAAATAATAATTGAAAAAGGGGTCTGAAGAAAAGAACACCACGGAAACTATTCACATCGTCCTTCGTCGAAGGCCGGAGAGCGCGCACGCCAGCTAGACCAGGCTCCACAGCACAGATGTGCACAGCAGTGCCAGCATTGGCCATCCATTGGGGTTGCCCAAGCTCTGCCAGTGCGCCGCATCACAGTAAGAGGCGCATTGAGAGTCATCCGTCAGCATGTAACTG